TTCTCCATCCAACATAGATGGAAATGTTTCCTATAAACATTAGATTTGAATTTGAATTTCCATAGATGTATTTGCAAATGCAGTATATGACACATACATTGACATTTTCTCTCCACAGGTATTCGCAATATTGAATGAACATTACTTAATTCTGCTACTATTACTTTGGAATCAAATTCACACTGTAATTATAAGTACAGTTATATCTTATCTCCGGGTTCATGTAAACCCAGAGATATTATTGTAAAAAGAAATTTAATGGACTTAAATCTCATTGAAAAATTATTTTTGGAGTTGCACACAAGGTCATGCCTAATGCCAAAGTATTTTGATACATAAGTTAACCTCACTTAAAACAGGCATATATATTTTCCTACCCATTTCTTTAAAGAATGTTTTCAGAAATCTTTAAAGCCGTAACATCATTCATCTGAAACCTTTCAGTTTTCCTGCTCTGAAGGTTTTCAAATCCCAAAAATAAAATCTTGTCTCTGGCCCACTGAAAAGTTAAGACTAGGAAAAAGTAGCACAGATTCTCCATTCAGAATAGCCAAGGTTCATTGATAATCACTTCTGCAGAGAAAATAAAGTTTAGAAAAGGCTACCTTCTCATAATAACCTCAACTGCTTTTTCTTTTTAAAGACAAGAAAAAGGGTATCTGTAACAGAGTGCTCAGAAAGCACTATCTTTTAAGATAGGAAAAAAGTTCCAGGTGACATCATTTTTGGCCAAAGCTCAAAGGGTACTGTGAAGGGATACAGCTCTTCCCAATTATTCCCTATATAAAGATCAAAATGACGGCAAAGGGCCAATTCTTAGAGATACTTCATCCCAAATGTGCTGTGTGATTACCTACATACTCACTGCACATGGGAGAAGCTGGAGTTTTTCCAATCAGTGAAGTCACAAATCTTCCTCAGGTAGAACTGAAGTAGAAATCTTCCCCACTCTGCTTTCCCAAATAATTATGACAAACAAAGATCAAAGTGGTTTACACAAAGCAGTGTTTATTCCACGTGCACAACAGTGGATCAGTTGAAAACAAAGTATTATGAAGCCACGTTGGGGTTTTTTTTGAGGGGGTGGCGGGRGCAGGACATGGAGGAAATACATCCTGCTGCCCAGAGTATTAGTTTTGTTCTCAAAGAAGCAGAATGGAGTTTTAAAAGACAGGTCTTTGCCTGTACAAGAAGTCATACCAATTGAATCCAAAATTATTTTTAAACTGGTTCTGACTGCATAAATGCCTAAGCAAAAGCAATTTAAATTAACATATTTTATTTTGCAGTTGAAGTGGGCTAGGAATGCACACCCACTCAGTTACTGTGACTCAGTCAATCAAGACTATCTGCTGTACAAGCTACAGCAGTTTGATTACTTTCAACTGCTCCTCTCTACCTGGAAAGCGCTGAACTGATTTTGAACCAGACAATTCCAGTAAGCTCACACCTCTGAATTTACCCCTCAAAAATCAGCATCACCCAGTGCTAAGTTTTCACAATGAACTTCCCACCCATGTAATTACACCGCCCTCATTTATCTTCAAGTGTATGGTGAGATAGCACAGCAGAGCTTTTTGTGAGTCTCAGTGTCAGGGCATGAGCAGCAAGGGACTAACAGCCTACTGCAAACACACAGCTCCCACAGCTCCCATTTAAAAGAAGGTGGCTCTGCTAGGTGGAAAATAAGCTGGCCACAGGAGAGGAAGCAGTGATCCTACACACTATTCAGTGTCACCAGATCTGGCTGATTTGTTCACCCTRCAACCTTGCAGCAGCTCCAGGGTGCAGAGCAAAGTGCCCTGTGCACCCAAAACTGGGATTGTAGTGGTCACAATGGGGTAAAGTCCATTCAGGACACCTGAGGCCAGCCTGTGTCCTTCCCCATGGCTCAGCTCCACCCAGCACCTCTCTGTCACACCCTTCACTCAACTCTGTTTTACCTTCAGTGCTCCAAGGAAGAGAGATCCCTCATCTCCAAGTCATGCCCACATGGTTCCCCTGCATTTTGGGTGGCTGGCAAAGGACTGAAGCATGTGTGTGCTGCCTCAATCTCCCCCTCTCTAAGTAAAGGGTCTACCTGTTTACACACACACACACACACACACACACACACAGACACTTCCAAATGCCTTCCCCCCAGCTTTCCTCCTAGAACACCCCAAGGAAAAGGGATGGCCTCTGAAGACTCCATTCTATAACAAAACATGCCCCAATGAGAAAGGCTCTATTAGCAAASATGTATTTAAGGCTMTATTAGCRAAGATGTATTTGTCACTGGGAGCACTTTCATCAATACATGAAATAACTTCATTCTCTCCAGCCTTCTTGTCATTCCTGATGGAGTTCACCGATGGCACAAGATCAGGGAGAGAGAAATGCTCAGGTGCRGAACTCCAAAGTCATCTTGGAAGGAAGCAGGGAGCCCCACTAGGGGAAACAATACTATGCCTGGGAAAGAGCTTTACTTGATGTCACAGGAAGGCAGGGGACACAGGTGGGAAAATATCTGTAGGACAGAAGTAACTAGCTTGACAGAGCTGCTGTTTAAAAGTTTTAAACTACAGAACAACTATCATACAAAGTAGAACTGCGTAAACTTTCCAGTGTTTAACTCCAATAGTACTACAAAAATAATACCACAGCCTTGGCCTTTTCTGCTTAAATAACAAATTGCAAGCAAGAGCCAAAGATGTCTATCATTTGGAGAGCAAAAAGTAGACTGAGGCCACACTCTTACTTTACAGATAGCTACAAAGATTACATGAAGATAGGACTGTAAAGACATATCTTTAAGTCCCTGCCAACCTAATCAAGATGGTATTAACAGTGATCTCACACTCCATCTGCCTGGCTAGTAATTTATGAAAAACGTACTTCACTATTACAGGAAAAATATGTTGCGCTGCTTGTGGCCTCAAACCTACTGCAGCAGCTCAGGAACTCTTGGATCGGAGGCCGTGAGACCAGTTCTTGACATTTACCAGGTACTTCCCATGAGATGTGATTCATTCATATAGCAATTCTGTTTGTTTGTTTGCACTACTGATGATCTCATCCTCAGACAGATAAAATAGCTGATAAAAAACTTACAGTCCCTTGCAATTTAGAGTGTAATACCATCCTGGTTTGCTTTTAATCCATGTGAATTCTACACAGGCACTCCACTTAATTTCATGAGATTCTTTTGATGAGTGATACATCCCTATTGTTACACTGATCAGCCAACATTTCTGAAAAAATTAGTCCTTTTCCTGCCAGAAAAACAGAAAAAGTCATCTTGCTTATCAAAACTGATTTTTTTCAATTAATATTGCATGCTTTTTCCTTTAGCTTACACAGCCTAAGATTCAGATCTATAGGACTTGCTAGTTGCAGAAAGGATTTTTTTTTTTTTTTTTTGGGGGGGGGGGGGGGTGGTGGGGGTGGTGATGGTGTCATTTTGGAAAACAATGTGAAATCTTCCCATTTCCATCAAGACAAATTTCAGGGACAGCATTCTAATATCAGAATTACATAATATAACATCTGGGAATCAAAAACCCCCAACAAAAAAACAGTACCAACACACTGGAATTAATTACTAGTTATGTATTCCCTTGCTTAGCAGAACTATCATTTGGATCACCCTTCTAGTTGCTGCAGCAATTGAAGACAGAATATGCAATCACCAATATGGTAAAGCAGGACAACAAAACCCACTGTATTTCTAGAAAAGGTCTTTCTGCTACAAAYTGGAGGGAAAGTATCTAAAAAATACTACCTGCTAAAAAAGAGTAGTTATTATATGCAGAGCAATAACTAAGGAGTAATGGCCTATGATTTACTCAATTCCTACTCAAATGAAACACCTAAAGACATCACTGCTTCCATGCTGAACAGCAACAGGGCAAAACAAGCCTCTAACACCATTAGAAGGTATGCACAATCAACATAATTTTCTAGTGTAATCAGAATATCCAAAGTTTTCCTCTTCTAGCTGGGAGATGAGACATGGGCTTGCAGCATTTTCTTACCAAATAAAATATACAAATTACTTTGTATATACAAAGGTTGAGTCAGTCTCAAGAAAATTTTTTTCAGAAAAATAGGAAAGTTCAGTCTCAGTAGCATTTGTTCCGTCTTCAGCAATGAAGATAAAGGGAACCCTTTCCCTAAGTACAAATAGTCTTGTGGTGCCTATACTCCTCTATAAAACTAAGCACTGCCACTTATTGTATTRCAGTGCACTAACACAATTTTGAAAGAAATTGGGTAAATTTTCACGTGTTCCTCTGAAAGTTTCTAGCTGTGATCTCTCAGCTAACTCAGAGAGACATTTTACCCCTTTCATTTTGTTCCTCAAGTATGTTCATTTCTGTTCATTCCATCAATCTCACTTTTACAGATCAAAAACCCTACAAATTTGTCTTTTAGAAACATTTTTGGAAAACACGTAATCTTCACTTTCTCCAACAGATACACACTTTGTAGCTTTGCTAATATATGCAAATTGTCTGATTGCTTGAAATTACTCATTAACCAGGCTGGAGAGCTGATTACCTGATTATCCAAGAGAAAAATAACTTAGCGTGATTTTGTGTCATTTGACAGTCTAGCTAATTTTCTAATTAATTTGMGTTTTCAAGTGAATTCAGAGATACTATTGAAAAACAGAAGAGGTCAACGATCTGAATAAAGGTAATCTTTCCAGGAATTTTCTTCTTACAGCAATCATTTGTCAAATGCCATTGTTATTTACAAAGACTTCAGACACACACACACATACACACACACACACAAATGAGAACTCAGAATTCCAAAAAACATTTGAAGAAACCAGCGCATGGTTCTTCCATGCTACTGTAAATACATCTTGGAGAGCTGGATGTGGTGCATTAGAGTGGCACATGGCATTAAACTTGCAGTGTTACCAATAAATACTGAACTATACACGAAGCAATATGTAGCAGATAATCTGTCAATGTGCTGAGAGAATAATAAATACTGGAAATACATACTTGCCACTGAAAAGTTGTTGAGTGGATATGGCAGATCCACATCCTGGGGCTTCTCCTTATAGCCTATGAAAGAGCCATCTGTCTTTAGCAGGAAGTATCTTGGCCGCCAGTTTTTTATATATTCTCCTAAAGGAGACCAAAAAAAAGTTCATTAGCACTGTAAAAAAAAAACCCCAAACTTGAATATTAAAAGACATATCATATTATCAGCATTGAACATTAATTATATAAAAATCTTTTAGATGTTTTCAATTTACAGAGAAAACCTTYACTTTCTCCAAAAGAAGGGAAAATTGAATTGCAATGTTAAGCCTGGACTGTACAATGATGCCTCTGGAATAAGAAGCTACTAGCATGGTACACTAATACTGTACAATTCTGAATTTCATCATGCTGTACTTTTCAAATATCCTACATGCCTACACCATAAACGAATCAAAATTTTCAGGGGAAAAAAAAAACAAAACAAAACAAAAAATTCAAAACTCTGCAGCTTGACTTTTAATAACTAAGTAAAATCCAAACTATGACAAGGTAGAACTGCTACCCTGCTGAATAAAAGTCATTAATTTCCTCAAAACATACACTAAGCAAATATAAAGAAATTGAGTGTAATGGAAAAACCTACACAAAAGATAATTTAAAAATATAATAGAAAGCAAAAGGAAAAAGAAGTAGAAGCTAGAAGCCAATTACCTTCCAAGAGTAAAGTCCACCAATAAACCTACCATGCCACCTTTTCTTTACCCCAGCCTGAGTAAACGATTCTAAAATCTATGTGGAATTTCAGATCAGAAACATATGGAACACATCAGCCATGACACAACCCCATAATTAATGCTATTAATTAAGCAGTTATTTGCTATTAAGGATAAAAAACTTTTTTAACACTATCATACTTYACAATGCCACACCAAAATCTCAGCAACAATTTCATTTTTAGAGTGCAATTACTCAGTAAAAATGCAGGTTAGTTTAGATCYGCCCAACTTCCCTCATCCTTGATTTCTTGATATTCTGCAGAGTAAATAATGAGTATTACTAAAACTTTCCACAAGTCATGGTTTCATCATTTWAAAGTGAACATTTTCAGAAAAAAGAAGTGTATTAACAATGTAGAATTTCCAACAAGGAACCAAGGACTTCTCACCATTTGTGAAATGCTCAGAATGAACCATCCCAGGGGCTGCACTGGTCCTGGGCTAAGCCTCAGCCTGGCAGTGCTCTTTACCACCTCAGCTCCCTATTAGCTGTAGCTACATGGCTTTTAGGCAATTCAAAAGTCAGAAATAATTTTGCATCCATCTAACATGGAGGTTACTTCATTAAAGGGTAATCTAAAAATTCATTAATGGCACCTTCACCTCTCCATCACAGCAATCAACCCTCACTGAAGTCGAAGATGGSAATTGCTGATATGGCCTTGATGAACTTGAGCCCATCTTGTAAGGATTTTGACAATACACATGGCTGAGCAAATCCAACTGCAGCCACTAACATGCCCARTTTTCAATGTGTATTTAAGCAGAGGCGAGTAGAGAATAGGAGATGGAATAAACAGGACAAAAATTAACACTGGGCTATTCAGGCTGGCTTACATAGCAAACCTCTTCCTGTTTAGTCCTGCTCCTAGACAGCAGGGTACTCACTTGACTGTGTTAGATAGACATTTTCACACAGGTGGAAAGAATTGGCAAAGTCCACGTGGGACTTAATTTGACCACTAAATGAATAGAGCAGACACAGCACTGGTCACATTTGTGTTGATGCAGAGCTTAACCTCTGGTTCTAGTTTGTCTGGGAACATCCCTACTGATACTGCCAGTCCGAGCTCATTTCACAGTAGGAAATTCCATTGCATGAAAGCATGCAATAAAAACCCAAGTGAAAYGGGTATGAGATACTTTGTAAGTTGAAGAAGAAACACAAGTGCAATATGGGAAACCAAATGTGTAACTTTAATACCAACACTAATGAAAAACTATATCAGCATTACATGAAAAGCAATAAATTAAGTTTGCTGAATACTTGAAAATGAAATAATCATAGGCTTAAGTCAAGGGATTACTCATATTTTACAAATATTTAAAATAYGTCCTGCAAGAAAATTGCTGAAATCTGCACGGACTCAAAAGTTAAAGCCAAAACAAAACCTCACCTATCAGATCATCCAACATAAGTTTTTAAAATATTAAAATCTTAGTAACTTTCTTAAAGAGATGAGAAAGCGAATCCTCTGTATTTTTCTCATAAATTCTATCACATTTCACTGTAAGAGTGACTGTAAGGAGAGAAAGTACCTTTTACTGGGTTTGCATTGTATCAAGATCTCAGTCTTATCTATAAGGCAGGCATCTAAACCTACTGAAGAATTCAAGGACAGCACAGACAACATCAGCATGCCTGAAGCAGGTCAGCCACCCGAGGGCTACAGTTTCAAAGAGAGTCCTCTCTTCTGCAAGGAATAAACTGCAGAGGGAGATAAGCAGAGCCTGCTCCAAGAATCAGGGCTGATAGGGTAAGTACCCTTAATAGACACTCAGGAAAGAATGGCAGCCTCTGTTTGCTTACACACACTCTCCAGAACGAAACCTGCCCGGAAAGGGGACCATTCTGACAGATGGCCTTACAGACCCAACACACTCTTCATTGCTTACTCCCTCTTTACCTCTCAGGACAACGTTCTAGATTGGGTAGACCCAGCAGCAGCCGAACACAGGTTCTCTTAATCAGAAAACTGAGCCGATTTTTAATCATCCTCTGAGTTATGCAGMCAATTTTATGCCTGGAGAAGAACCATTAGAAGAGCAGAATAGCACTTCCAAGCTCCTCTGACAAGTGTTAGCAACTTGGACAAAAGCTAATCTATGAGCAGAGTTGTACCTCTGTCTTCGCTCCACAAACCATAGCCAGACACAGAAAATGCAATTTAAAAACAATTGTAGAACACTACGGCTTCATAAGGAGCCATTTATTTCTTTCACAGATATATTTCTTTGAGGAATGTTTCTCCCAAGTGGTTTCCCAACATGAATCATGGTCAGACTACTTTTTCAAGACATCTATACAAACACACACACACATACACACAGAGATCCTGGTTTCACCCTGAAAATAGCAATATTCCAATTCCTTTCCAAGGTCTATATGTGAATATTTATCATCTGCCCTATATTTATTTTGTAATTTAATTTACAAATGGGTGAACACTTTTGAAGGCTGAATAGTGGTATCAGTGAACACTTAGTGGCTCAAGTGGTTCAAGGGCTCTCAAGATGCACTCTAGGTGCTCTCTTCTAACTGCATTCCTTTTACATAATCTGCCTTAAGAGAGAAAAGCATTTTAGTTCATATGTCTTAATGTATGTGCTTATTGATTTGCCTTGGAAGAAATCCTCCATACAAAAAATGCTAAAGTAAAGCTGAGTATTTGWAAAGAAAAAACACTTCCACATGTCTTCTAACTTAGCAGCCCTGTATTTAAAAGAAAAAAAAAGGGTATTTCTCAGTACTACCAACATTAAATACTTTTAAGTTATTTGGAATGTATGTTTATTAAATACCTCAACACAAGCAAACTAGAGGAAATTTACATGTGAAATTTATTAATTCAAGTGAAAAGTAATTCCATGAGAGAGGAGAAGACCAGGCAGGCTAACCAAACCACAAGATATCCTGACAATTTAATAAAATGGAACTGCATTACTTAAAAAAGCAGTGGATCTACCACASAGGATTAATCGGTTTGTACCCTGCTTCCTGCTGAGTTAATGTAAGTTAAATTATTATTTTTCCTAAATTTACACCCTTCTAAGTCGAAAACCACATTCTTTTAGGAACTGTTTATTGGACAGTAAGAGGAGGCCTCTAATTGCAAGCACTGCAGCAAAGAAAGCCAAGTAATTCCTACATTATTTTAATTCTAGGCAAAGTTTTTTAAGCTACTTGAGAAAAGTGGCACTAGAATATGTATSTCGCTGATACTTACAGACAAGAAATACATACACACAGACAAAATACAGATTTTATATTGTCAGAGTCTGCTTTTTTAACAACTACTGAGAAAACACACCCAAAAGGTTAAGTAAGACAGCTGAATATTCTTGAAGCACATGAAAATTCGAACTGATCTTCATGCAAAAAGCACCCTTGCAACATGCAACTCTTTAATTAACGTTGTRTTTAATAATACACTGGCTAACAACAGTAACAAAGAATACTTAATGAAGGTTTGTTTAGAACATGACCCTCRCGGCTGCCTCTTTATCTGCCTCTGTACTGCAGCCTCAATGATTCTTCTTTTTTTGCCTTTGACAGCCAGTAACAAGAAACCTGCCTTCAGGATATTTCACAAAGTATGTTTATTCTAGTAATGCAACGTTGGTAGTTTTCATACTGTTCAGAAGCTTCAGAAAGGAGAGCTTTCTAAGAAATCATATATGAGTAGTCAAAAAAAACCGTGTCAGACAAATGTAGAACTCAAAAGTTTCCAATTTTTTTTACTTTACCTCACAACTCAAACTCTCTCCTCAAGGATGTATTTCACCCCAGATTCAGCAGTTGCTATTGTTAGTCTCATCATTTGTAATCTTTAAGCATATGGAAATTTAGCAATTATTGAAAAATTATTCAGTAATTTAAAATTAATCTTCCTATTTAAAAATGTAATTTAAAAAAAACAAACACTTTTGCAAAACATCTACATTTTTCAATATGTAAATGGTTTCAGAGGTGTGAAGGAAATGTCTTTAATATACAGTGCTGATAAGCAACAGAAACCTGAGTTCAAAAACTTGCTTCCTTAAAAGAAGCAACAGCTGCCACACAAACATAAGTGAGATTTAAGGGGAAAAAAAAAAAAAAAAAAAAAAAGAAAAAACCCTCCAAGAAGAGAATACACCAAAATTCTGCCTCTTGTCTGTTATTATCAATTTAGTCAAATGGATTTAATATAAATAATACACAAACATTGTCTTCCCTGCCTTTTTTTTTTTATAATTTACTCAAGGCACTTTTTTGTTAAATCAAACTCCCTACAATAACATTTAAGAAACAAAGGGGGGAAAAGGGAATTTATCTTAGAACATTAAGCAACATTGTATAAAAGTAAATAAAACAGCTATATG